GTTCCGGATTGGCCCTCTGGCGTTGTGGCGTGCCTCAATATTGGGCATAAATCAAAAATATCTGCGTCATACCTGCGACAAGCTAATTGTGACACACTGCTGTCGGATTATTACCAGTCCTTAAGGCTGACGCCATATTTCTGAGTCATCCCCCTTCACTGCTGTCTGGGACAACGGAGGGATGAGTTAGCGACCCGAAGTAGGCGGGGTTAAAGCAGAGAGAACGTCAGTTGGACGTCTTGTCGCTCCGCTCCCGGAATCCTGCAAAGAAGTTTCTCAACTGATTGGGAAGTGGCAGAAGTTATCGTGGCGGAGTACGGACGGGCCTTAGAGCCGAGAGGAAAAATCCTTCCCCTGGTTTAAAGTTTACACTCGGTTTTGCAAACGTGTCAACTTGTGATTGAACAGAATCCCACGGAGGCTCTGGGATCTCCGGAGCCTTCGTACGGATCCGTTCAACGGAGCAGGCGAGAAGTGAAGTGCCTTCGGTTAAACCAAAAAGTGCTTTTCTTGAGAAACGGCGACAGAACGCTGTGGTACGGTTCCATTCGTGTTCCCCGCCCCGTAGATCTAAGAGCGGAAAGCGGACGAGCCCGACTGGCGGGACTTCTGAGGGAGATGTGATTTCTCCTATGATTAGAAGAGCACTTTGCTTTGGGAGGCGGCGGTTACGTCATCGGATGGACGTCTCTCTTCGTTCCCCCGCTGAGCTCCCTCCTCTCCAAATCGATCTGGATTATCGCGCCTCGTAAAAGATACGACACGTTCTTTAAAGTTCTTACGTCGGGGGAAAAGGGAGAACAGAAAACAAGATTTTCACTTCAAACTATATTTTTTTCTGGGTCACAACAAGACAAATAATCTCCACTAAAAATGATGGTAGTTTTTTTTGTTTTTCCATTATTACTTTAAGTATGCAGTACCACGCCTTCAGGCCTACTGATCCTGCCCTCTACTCTACTAAAAAGGGGGAGAAAAAGGGGACGTAAATAAAAAAAACAAATAAAAAAAAAACAAGGGTTAATACGTTGTTATATCTATAGAAGGGAGAAAAAGCCCAAATAAAAGCTGCTTCAACTTCTTTTCTGAAATTTTCCTGTTCAAAGGGGTTCCACTTCCTTTTAAGGCTCAATCAAAAGCTATTGTGCGCTAACTTTCATTTAAGGCTTCCAAGTGTTCATTTTCCGATCTATTTTTCAGCTTAATTCCCCGACTTTTCTTTTTCTGTTCAAGCCTCGTTTAGATCAGTGAAAGATCCCAGCGGAGCGGCGGCGCCCGCCTCGGCTGTTCGGGTCACTGAAAGGCCTGGTGGAAGCGAGGCAGCGTGGTGGTGCTACGGCTGGAGCTGAACACTGGTGGAAGTGGGTGCAGGGATCCCAGACCCAGACCCCCACTGGAGCTCTGCTGCTCCTGAGGTTGAGGTTGCAAAGAGGTAAGAGGCGCCGCGGCGACGGCGGCTGCTGCCGCGGCGGCGTGGGGCTCGGCGGCGTGCAGAGACGAGTTGGAAGAGGAAGAAGTGGAGGAGGTCACAGATGAGGTGTAGCCCATAACCAGTCCTCCTGTGCTCATGGGGGCGCTGTAAGGAGGGAGGTTTAAGGGCAGGAAGCCCAGCAGGTGGGAGAAGTCCATGTTAGCAGCACACAGAGACTCGGCTATCACGGCGGGGCTCTTGGACAGGAGGGGATCCCCGCAGAGTTCATCGGCTAGGCCAGAAGAGGGCTCCAGTCCATCCTTGGGGGGGGAGGCAGCAGCATGGGGCTCTGCAGAGGGAAGCGGGGCAGGCAGGCCGCTCTGCAGGTCCATGAGGAAACTCTCCATCTCCACCTTCAAGGGCTTGTCCAGCAGGTATGAGGTAGATCCCAGCTGGTATTTGGGCGCCGGCTGGGGGGGCTGGTGCTGCTGGGGAGCCACGGGCTGGTGTGGGGGGGAATGGTGGTGGTGGTGATGGTGGTGGTGATGGTGGTGGTGATGGGAGTGCGGATGAATGGATACGGGGGGTTCCATATGGCAGCCCATGCCCATGGCGGCAGACAGGGAATTGGGCATCAGTGGGGGGTGCGGGGGACCCACCCCAGGATTAGGCATGGTCTGCAGATGGTGGGGGTTATACATGCTCATGGGAAAGGCGGCCCCACCGGGGAAGGACTTCCCCATCATGGGCTCCTTGTTGGGCCCCATGCCGCATATCATGGGGCTGAGTTCCTCCTTGATGGAACACTGCGGCGATCCGGCCGTCAGGATGCCCAACATGTCCGGATGCTCCGTCTTTATCTTCAGCAGCTCCTGCGAGTGACTCTTCTTCACGTGCCGCGTCAGGTGGTCTTTCCTGCCGAAGCGCTGGGCGCAGTATTGGCACAGGAAGTCTTTCCGCCCCGTGTGGACCACCATGTGCCGTCTCACGTCCTTCCGCGTGTAGAAGCGGCGGTCGCAGTGGTCGCAGGGGTGTTTCTTCTCCTTGGCGCCGCCTGACGACTTCCCCGAGTGGCTCTTCAGGTGCTCCAGGAGAACGGGCGTGCTTTCGTAACTCTGCATGCACACTTTGCAGGTGAGATCCCCCGCCGTGGCAGAGTGCATGGCCACATGGCGCTTGTATCCCAGCTTGGTGTTGTAGTGCTTCCCACACTCCTCACACTTGAAGGCCTCTTTGTTGGGGTCATGGGTCTGCAGGTGGTTCTTCAGGTGGTCTTTGCGGTGGAACATTTTCTCACAAAACGAACACTGGTGGGTCTTCTGTGGAGAGTGCGTGGCCATATGCCTGTGAAAACAAGGCAAAGATGCTTCAGCATCATTCGTTCTGCGACTATTAGCCGACTGCAAATAGAAACAAATGATCAGAATTTTTCTCCTTAAATCTACGTTTAACTTTTCTTTTCTAGATGTAAATAAGCAGACTGGATGATAACTCTAGTAAAGTAAGAATGACTCGTATTAATTAGGTTTACCCAAACCATCCAATGCTCCCCATATGCATGATGCTACCTCCACCGTGCCTAACAGCTGGTAATAAACAGAACATATTTTATACAGTACAGATCAAAAGTCAATTTTCATAGACATGAATGAGAAGGCGTGTCCAAACTTTTGGTCTGTACTGTATTTCCTGATGAGGAGATGCTTAGAATTCACTTCCAAAACCTACAAACTAAGAGGCAGAAATTTTTAACACTGTTTTCTCTCTAAAACAGATCAATCATTCCTTAAGATGACATAAAAACATCACTTTCCATTTTCCTAACTTTCCTTTGCTGTTTACTGAAATTATTTGTTTCGGGTTTTTTTTTTTTTTGGTTTTCCTCTGTTTCAAATAGGGATGCACGATATAATCGGCCCCCTATCGGTATCGGCCTTAAAACTGAATATCGGACATCGGCCACCCCACCGATATTTAACCCGATATTTGATCAGCTTCTAAAGGAAAAAAAAAGTAGAAAAAAAAAACTTCTTCTTCCTCAAAAACTTCTTTTTTACAGACTTAAAAACTTCTAAAGACGAGGGAAAAAATATTGATGCATTAAAATATCCCAATATCTTCATATGCTGATATATTGCCATTTAAAAACACCATATCAATCTCTTTTACTAATGAAATATTGCTATATGTCATCGTTATGCTACGAAATCCCCCGAAAATTCACCAAATGTTGCCATATTTTTATATGTTGATATATTGACGCGGTATCGATCTATTTTACTAACAAAACCTCACAAGAATTTGCAAAATAGTTTGTAACAGAACGATGAAATTTCACCAGATTTTGAAAGTAAAATAGATCGATACCGCGTTTTTTAAAAATCTATTTGATATCAACATATGAAAATATATTTGAGTATATTATTTTTCAAAGTGTCAGAAATGGATAACAAAACTGCTATTTTCAATGACTACTTATTTTTGTCCAGCTTTAACATCGGTATCGATATCGGTTATCGGCTACATGAGTTTAAAATATCGGATATCGGCCAAGTAAAAGACGGTCCATCTATACATGCGGGTCCATCTATACATGCAGCTCCATCTATACATGCGGGTCCATCAGGTTCCTATTGGAGGCTGGAGACGAAGGAGGAATTTGGTCCAAACCTGAAGAGTTTGTATTTGGAGCTGAAGGCCTTGGGGCAGTGCGGCTGTGAGCAGTGGAAGGGTTTCTCTCCGGCGTGACTCAAAGCGTGGAGGCGGAGCTTCTCCTGCGAGACGAACAGGGCCCCGCACACCAGACACTCGTTGCCGCTCGCTCTCCCTACTCTCCCTCCTTCCTCGTCCCTCTCTCGCTCTCTCTCCGTCCGTGGCAGCGGGGCGGCGCTCCCAAACAGCTTGGCGGCGGCGCGGCGTCCCTCTTCCTCCGGCGTCAGTGCAGTGATACAGTGTGAGGCATCGGCGGCAGCAGCTGCCATGGCAGCCCTAGAGTGCCGCTGCCATGAAAGTCACGCGCGGCTCCCCCTGCCTCGCAGTCTCAGCGTTGGAAGGTGTCTGGAAAAGGCGACTGGCAGGTCAAAGGTGACGAAACGCTGCATCAAACAAAGTCTGCTGTCAGATCCCAGTTTCCTCCTGAAACTCCACAGATTGGAGGTCAAACTGGAACCAAGCTGTACCTGCTGGTCAGAATCCTCGGGTGTGAACCTCCCACCTTACAGCCGCCCGTCGCTCCGTCGTGCTCCGCGCTCCTCACCCCGTCCCAACAGCTGTGGCTGGTGGTGAGTGGGAAACACCGCTCTGCATCTTTACTGTCCTGTAAAAAAGACAACAGACACAANCGACGTAAAGATAAGAGAAAAGCATTTGTTTCCAAACTAAACACTCTTCACTCTTCATTGATTTATCAAAAGCGTTCGACACCGTCAACCACAATTTACTTGAAGAGAGATTGACTCTCTAAACAAGCTGTTGGATGGTTCAGTAATTATCTGACTGATCGATCCCAATGTGTCAAATCAGATCAAATCTGTTCTAGTACATTGTCACTAACTAAAGGAGTGCCCCAAGGCTCCGTTTTGGGGCTTCTACTATTTACTATCTATGTGAACAATGTTGGCCAGGATCTAATAGACACTAACTACCATTTTTATGCCGATGATACGGCTTTTTACAGTTTTGGAAAAAACCCTAGTGCGTGTGTCTCTACTTTACAAATTGCTTTTAATTCGGTTCAGCACAGGCTTTTAAAACTAGATCTTCCTTTAAATTCAAATAACACTTAAATGATGTTATTTTCAAAAACAAAGACAAAATTGCAAAATAGCGATCCTCTTATCACCTTGGATGAGTCAGAGACAGAAAGGGTTCAATCTTTTAAATATTTAGGAATTTTAATTGATGAAAGTCTAAATGTTGAACAATTGATGAAGAAACTGGCTTCTTCTTTAGGAATAGGCTTTGTTTCTGTTTTAATTCGAAGAAGAGACTGCTAGCTGCAACGTTTTTACCCATTCTGGATTATGGTGACCCAATCTATATCAATGCCCCAGATCAAGTTCTAAAATTTTAGACTCAGTTTACCATGCCTCTCTACGATTTATCACAAACTGTAAGCCTCGCACACACCACTGTGAACTTTACAAACGTGTGGGCTGGCCAGCATTGGAGACTCGTAGACTCACTCACTGGTATAGGATGATTTCTAAGGGTATTCTGTGTCTGCTCCCCTCATACCTCTGTGAGTACATTCAACCAATAGCGGCTGGACTGTATTCTCTACCTTCTCAAGAGTCTTTGCTTCTGTCTGTACCTAGCGTCCGCACTGAAGCTGGAAAGACAGCTTTTCAGTGCTCTGCCCCCACAGCATGGAACAATCTTCAGAAAGACTGGAAGTTGAAGGATTTGATTCCAATCGGACATTTTAATCGACTGCTCAAAGGTTTGGAAAGAAGGTTCTGGAGTCAAAGCAATCCCTAAAGTTCTCCCTGTGAAGGTCTTGGTCCTCTCTGGGTACTCCGGCTTCCTCCAGCGGTCCGATTCAAACAGCAAGTTTAACAAACTCGGGTTCAAATCCTCAACTCTANTGAAGGTCTTGGTCCTCTCTGGGTACTCCGGCTTCCTCCAGCGGTCCGATTCAAACAGCAAGTTTAACAAACTCGGGTTCAAATCCTCAACTCTAAATAGATCTAGGCTAATTCAGGAACTCAGTTGTTTTGTCATTTGAACGGATAATATTTGCATCATAGAATGAATGCATGATATGCATCCTCAGTCTGCAGGTTTACTAGTGGTTCCTAGAACTTCTAAAAGTAGAATGGGAGGCAGATCTTTTAGTTCTCAGGCTCCTCTCCTGTGGAACCAACTACCAGTTTTAGTCCGTGAGGCAGACACCCTGTCTACTTTCACTTTATGTATAAAGCGCCAATTCACAACACATGTCATCTCAAGGCACTTTAAGGCGGTCATAGAATGCAGAACCGAGTTTCCATCGTCATGGATGAAGAACGATCGTTCAGGGGGTGAAATGGACGTACAGAGAAGTTCAAACCCATCATCACCTCCTTTCTCTGCAAATCTCTCTATTCTAAACTTCCACCTTATTGTTGCCTTATTTGGTTCTGGCCCGTACTTTTGTCACGCCCTGAAATTGACATTCATTCACATACAGACTGTGAAGACATTTTTACACTCTTCCCAAGGATCCGAAGACTCGACAGGCATGGATCATTATTGTCTATCAGAAGATCCTTGCAAAGTTGGATGCTCAGCTGTTCATTTGCTCGAAGCGTTTTACCGAAGAAAGCTTTCAGAATCTTGGAAAGATCAAAGCAGGATTTGCTAAACGTCTTTTCCTGAAACGAGGGGCTGTTCCCAGCGTAAGGCGGGACGCTGACTGGACCGGACCGGGCATTCAAACCGAGCCAGCCAGGGACGGAGCAACCAAACCCGACCCGGCAACAACAGGGGCCGCTGATGTCGGGTTGAGTTCAGTCATGGAGCTGACAGCCTGGATCTGCTGAACTGTAGGCGACCTAAATCCTGGACGATTTTGAAATTCCTCCCGGACATTTTTTTAGGTCTGAAAAGTAGGACATGACCTGGAAAAGAGGACGTCTGGTCCCCCTACCATATCAATGATGTTTCAGTGACTGAGTGCTTGTTGCTATGATGCGTCTTTGCTCAGTAGCTTGGCTCGTTGTAAACCAACCAATCAGAGCACAGCTCATCTAAATATTCATGATCATAAAAGGAAGAAAACCTGTCATAGATGTTGGAGTTCTGGGTTTCACTACGGCTGCTATGATATTAGTTCAATTAACTCTAAGTAGAACCACCCAGAGGTTTGCGCGTGTTTATCAGTGGAGCCCCAATTCGACGAGTCACCATGACAACAAGCAAGAGGAAATGCCTATTTCTCCCCACTGGAACCAGAGGTTTTAATTAAAAGACAGAGAAACGGCGCTACAGCTGCAAAGGAAAAGATAGATGAAGAAGGAGAAGATTGTTGCTCGAGTTAATGCGTGAATTTATAAGATGTGGCCTATGGCAGGCCGTTTTTACATTTTTTACACTTTTATCTTATTTTGTTTTTTGTCTGCACCAACAACACCAAGTCAAATTCCTTGTAAGTGCAAACCTACTTGGCAATAAACTTGATTCTGATTTAATAAAGCACTCTCCTCTCTGTTGTTCCATTTATGATCACTAAAATATGATTCTTCCAGATCAAAATCACGCTCCTAGACTGAACTATAATAATATATTTTCTAGATTACAATTTTTGCAGAAGATTATGAAATAATCTGAAATATACGAGTAAGAATTAAGCTTGACAGACCTAGAAATATTTACACATTTTAAGTGGCCGTTCTGACGTTTATCAGCTTGACTGAATATTTATTAAGTAGATCTGAAATACATTTCTTCATTTTCAAAATAAAACAGTCTGAAATTAATTCTAGACATTCAGAAGGTTTATTCTAGATGTGAAGAATGTTGTTTTGTTTAAAATGGTCATTTTGACAAGAAAAAAAATTAGTTTTTTCACATATCAGGAATACATGTTTGTTAAAACATATAAATATCAAAACAGCTTCAGCTTTATAAAACTTTCAGTAAACCTGCTCCTTAAATAAAGCCTGACTGAGGTTAGCATCTCTATGTTGCCCTTCAGTCACTCTTAGCGAGCTGGAGCCGTAAGATCTGGAATAAAAAATCCCATAAACCTAGAGTAACGTTACACAGATGCTAAATAAAACCACTCGCAGAATTTTCTTTAAATATAAATATTTACACACATCTTATATAAAATTACAGTAAATTTTGTTTCCAGTTAAATAAAAAGGCCAAGAAACCTTTTTTTTTTCTATATTCCATACATTTATTTAGAAATTCTAAATAACCAAAAGAATCTTTTTTTTTTTTAGATGAATTACCAAAAAAAAAAAAACTTTCTGACTGATTACTAAAATAATTATTAGCTGCAGCCCTAAAAACTCTGATGTTTGTTTATTCATTTCCACATGTTTGATTCCAGGTTTTATCAATAAATGTTTCCAAAAGCCACTATTACAAAAATAAATTTAAATTATTTTAAACGCTGCTCTCATTATTCTATTTTTTCCACCGATTACGGTTAAAAAAGAGGGACGAGGTCGGATCGGCTGCATGGAAATCTAAACGCTCCAGACGGTTGATTTACAGACTGAATCTGGACATTTAGGTCTGAGCTTAGACCAACTTTAGACCAGGAAGAGAGGATGAGATCACTGCAGAAATTAAACATTTATGTTAAAGTGCTGCAAGACGCATCAGTTAAAAAGCAGAAAAGCAGCTGCTCTGGTTCTTTATCCTGTTTAAAGTTGATTCAGTCGCGTTTAATTGAAGAGATGTTTGTAAACTCAGCCAATAGTTTGGATCTTAAGTCGACTCTGGTCCCAAATGTTTCACCTTCTGATCCACAGAGGGTTGAACGTCTGGGAACCTCTGCCTAAGAAAAAGCTCCAACTATGTGACTTAAATAGTTTAAATGTTTAGTTTTACCTACAGGTTACCTCTCTGACCACTAGAGGGAGCTGTTCTGCAAATCTGAAGATTCCTTTATCCTGTTTCCAAAATCCTCAGAGGAAACTTTTTCAGACATTTATGATTAGCTGTAAAGGCTGCTGATCTTTGGAGAGATGAAGAAGCGGCTCTGCAGGCTTCCTACAGCCGAGGCTGCCGTCAACGCCACGCTGCTGGTCATCTTAACAGTTTTAGAATCAAATAATCAAACACCCATTAGCTTGTAACTGAAGGAGCAAACATTGCAAAGAAAAAAGAAAGTAGATCTAAATAAGTCTTTTTTTCTTAAAATTACTGCTTTTGTTCTGATTTGAGGAGGTAAGTTTTTTTTTAAACTTTTACAGAATATTTATATTTAAAATAAGAAAAAATGGATTTTCTATTCAAGTGCATATCCAGCTATTTTAAGATTAAAGAACTAATGACATACCTAAAGATAATTGAAAATATTTTTACTTATTTCTAGATTGTTTTTGCAGTGTGGACGCTCCTCTGCCGGCGATACGCTAACAGCCGCTAAGTCCAGCCCTGATCCACAGCCAGCGGCTCTGGACGTCTGTCTGCTGGATGGCAGCGAGCTGCACCAACACAACATCAAAACCACGTCACCATTGTGTCGATGAGGGGCAGTAAATATTCTGGGATGTCCCCTGAACACATCTGCCTGCTGTCTGATTTCTGTTCAGTCTCAGGTCTCCGTGCACAGAGCATGAAGCATGCATGCAGGTTCACAGCTAAGAGGGCATGGCA